TATATGTGTGTGTGTGTATATATATATATATATATAAGATTTTGTGTATGTGTATTTTTTGTGTATTTTTGTATGTATATGTGTGTGTGTGTATATATATATATATATATAAGATTTTGTGTATGTGTATTTTTTGTGTATTTTTGTATGTATATGTGTGTGTGTGTATGTATATATATATGTATATATATGTATATATATATGTATGTATATATATATGGGAGGAAGCTAACTGCTTCCATCATCTGTCAATCGGCTCGTCACAAGAGTCCATCACGACAGAAACCCAATTATTTATTTCTCTTTCTCCCTTTATTTATTTATCAGCACAAATAAAAAATAAACAAACACACACACACACACATATATATAATATTCATTCTATGTTGCTGTTCAGTTGCATTGATTAGAAACTTGGGATTCTTTGATGAAATATCCTTTATCATGACTTCTGTGGAATATTGATTTTATCTATGGATCTATTTTTTCAAATTGGAAAGTTTAAATTTGACAAAACATATTTTGAAATAAATAAGTGTGCAAAGCTGCTTTCCCAGTTTTCTCAGATGTTTAGAAATAATTGTCCTCCAGTCTCAAACTTTCATTGTATACCCTCTCACATATATATACAGTGCCACCTAACAGTTTAACGAACGACTCCCATACTATTCTTCAGATTTTATATGGGGAAGTTATTATTCAAAATTTCTATTTTGAATATTTATTTTGCTTATGCCCTTGTTCTGCAAATGTAATGCTAACAAAAATATATTTTATTATAGTTCATTGATATTGGAATAATTACAAGTATTGAAATAAATCATAAACAAGTAGATGTTGCAAAAAAAGGTCAAGAAGTCTGTGTAAAAATAGAACCAATTCCTGGTGAAGCACCGAAAATGTATGGTCGTCATTTTGAAGCAACTGATATGCTTGTCAGCAAGGTAAACATTTTAAAATTTGGATATAACATTCCATGAATGTAAGGACAACAGGCCTTTTTTGAAATGGGATAGAATTTAGATTGATATGCCAGCATTGAGTGGTAGAGTGGTAGGTGATGGTGGTAGAGAGGCTGTTACAGAAATGTTGATATAAAAATCATTCTTCGCTTCTAGACATTAAAAATGGTTGAGAACATTATTACAGAGCTTAAGGTGCAACATTTCAAAAAATGTTATTTTGGTTTCTGAAATTTATGAAATATAGATTTACGCTTGCAAACAAACAATCTTACAAGTAGGGGTGTCGTATTAAACATTTTGATTTTCTACTTACAGATTAGTCGACAGTCCATTGATGCCCTGAAAGACTGGTTTAGAGATGAAATGCAGAAGTCTGACTGGCAACTTATTGTGGAACTCAAGAAAGTATTTGAAATCATCTAGGTTCTGTCAAACTTTGACCAATGATTAGCAAAAGCCCACAGTTCCTATTATAAGAACAACAGCAGCTTATAATAAATATGCTGTTGGCTTTAAAAAAACATCTGGGAAAAATGTGGATAAAATGTTTTCCATGAGAAACCAAATAACTTACACTGGTTTGACAGTGGTCAATTTATGTCCCTGTGGTTCCAATGTGCCTGTGCATCTTTCCCAATGCCCTTCACTTTGTACTGGCTACTTTTAAAGTTTGCCCTTTCCAGTTCACATCCCCAAATTAAAATATAATAATTTTTTATTAAGTAACTCAGCTTTCACTTTTATACTAGTAAGATCAGTACTACAGTATTTGCCTAATCAAACTCTTACACACTTTGTGATTTTTTTGGACTTTTTCGATGTAAGAAATCTTTATTTATGCATACCCTCTTTTCCCCTGATTTTTTTTTCATCACTTCTGCTTTGTGCCTATAGAAATTTATTATAGAAAAATTAGGTAATTGGCTATCTGTATTTGGTTGGTGTGAAACAATGATGTAAAGCATAGTTGGCTGCCTTTTATTGCTTGTACAGTTTATGAAATTTGGCAAATTAATCATTAATTCTGAGCGGCAAATAAAGTAAACGAACATTACTCTGATAATTTAATTCCTAATAAAGGCAGTGCAGCATGCAAATATATCTGTCAAAATTTAGCTATGTGTGTCTGGTCTGAATGCTTCAATAGTCTTCTTGTGTAGGTTGTTGGTTAGAAAGATGGAATAAAATCTCTCTGCCAAATGGTTAGAAGACCACAGTTGAGCAGTTTGATCTGGTCAGTGTGGTTGAAGAATTATGTGCAGTAATCCTATTAATATGTAAATGTGGTATAATTGTACTGTATAATTGTACAAAACCATATCTGGGAAGAAGGGCTAAAATGAAATCATCCTTGGATGGTGATCTTATACACTGATAGCATCATGATATTTACTGATATGGTTACACGGAAGGCAGATTATCAACAATCCTATTCTTAGTTTTTTGCCTGATGATTGCAGAATGGCCTTTAACCAGTTGCAACCATAATTATCAGGATATAGCAGCAAAGTTAAAATTATGAATGAAGTAAGAATAGTTAAAATTCTACAGTTGAAAGAAGCTGATTCTTAGGTAATAAACAATCAGGCCTCAAGATATGCTACAACTTAAGTCTATTCTAAAAGTATCATTTTTATCAAATAAGATATAAGTAAATCTTCAATCCTCATTGTTTTCTATTTAATCTGAGATTAAACCACTTTCATATAGCCTCATCAAGACTAGAATATTACAAATTCTTGAAAATGTTTTGATAAGAGAATTTTCTTAGGTTCTAATGAGACTGTTATGAATGTCAGTTGTTATGTTGCTAGAATTACCAGGTGGATATTGGGATAAGAAGAAATCTTTTCACACTCTTCTTTTGTGGATGCAAAAAGAAGTCCATTTGCTACAGTGTAAGATCCACTTCATCTAATCCAAAAGACGTTCTTCTTACCTCTTTAAATTTTTAAAAATTTCGGTGGACTGCTATAACAGAATCTCTTTAAATAGAAGGAAAACGGATTATTAATGAAAACTGAGTATTTTGTGAATAGGAAAATGCCTCTTACATGTGTTTGATATGAAAGAAAAATGGTAGGAATAGACCAAATTGCATTAATATTATCAGATTTAGCCAATTATGAGACAGAGATGCAGCACAAGGATTTTGTTGTTCATGTTAGACAATTGCAAAAATATTTTTTTAAAAGTCCAAATCAGCACTTTTCAGAAAGCCTTCTGCCACTGTGAAATAACTGATCTTGAAGATAAATGTTTAGCCAATAAAAATATGAAAACTAATATTGACTGTTCAAATTTATAGCATTTAAGAAAGACAAAGGAGTGAAACAAAATATGTACAAATTACATACAGTTCTTTATTAAACAATTGTAAACACTTCACTGTAAAAATCCATAAAACTTTTATAAACAAACATTTTGTAAATAGATTCTATTCTACAATAAAAGAATTTAAACACAATTATTTACATGCAATACTGACAAATTTTGGCACTTTGCTGAAAGAAAATGTACAAAACACCCCCTCCTTTAAAAAAAATCCAACTTATAAAAACTTAGCTTAATGTCATGCACTTTGCAAATACTTCACAAGCACTTATGGTACAGCTACCAGAGAGCTCCAGGCTCTTACCATATCCTTTTCTATAAGATCAGTTCAGATAATTTTTAATGTGCTTCCATAAGTTTGTTGCAGAACAACTTGAACATTGTCAAGAATGAAATCAAATGCCATGTTCCATACTGATTCTACAGACTGCTGCATTAGCCTGTGGAGATAAAAAGTAATAGAATGGAAAGAACACACTTATCATCACACATTTTCATAGAATGTAGAGCAAGATTTTGAGCTGGAATAGCCACAGCCAAACTCATAAAGTATGCTTACTTATATTAATTGTAGTTTGCTTTCTTGTGTGAAAATACTTAGAAACAAAGTTTTGTTGGTGGAAAAATACATGCAAATAATCCACGCACATAAAATTAGCTAAACTGTCTATGCAAGATTTTTTTTTAAATAAATGTAAAGTGGCACAAGACAAGCATACAAAATTATGCATTCTGTATTTAGGTATTCAATTATGAGTTAAACAATGAAATGTTAAAATATTTGTCAATTTACAAACTGAAGCAGAGGTTCTCCAGTGCACTGCTCGGAGAGTCCAATGCTGGGTTAACACAGCCTATCTGCCCNCACACACACCTACCTCTCCTTCCGCAGTGTGGGGAACCTGAGCCCCTCCTTCTCTTCAGGCCGGCTTCTCGCCACTCTCGGTGACGCCTGTGAAAAGGTTATTTGACACCAAAAGGGGTCACGGCCCACAGGTTGAGAACGCTGTGCTAGAAGGACTTTAACATTCAGTTGTTCCACATTAGCATTCAGTTGATTTGGAAAAATCAACTTATTTCAGTGAAAGAATAGGGCACTAGCGATATAAGAGAATATGTTTAAATGAAGATCCAGAGTATGAAAATGTTTATTACCGTATAGTTTATTTGCTTGCTTATTTCCATATATACAAATAGGATTTACTATATAGATCTGCCTGAATATTAAATAGTGGTGAATTCTCTCTTCCTTAGATTGATAGATTGTATGACTGGAAAAAGAGTCCGGATACAGATGTAGCTGTCACTTTGAAGAAACAGAAAAAAAACACCAAGGATGAATTTGAGGAACGTGCTAAGGCCATCATAGTAGAATTTGCTCAGCAGGTGAGTATCAATTTGGCTAAAAAAATGGTTAATCTTTTTGAATATGCTTTGCACCCTGTAGTTCCTGTAGATAAAACTAGCCCAAGCGCATTAACCATCCATAATCAAACAAAATTACAATCAAATGGTTGAAAGAAGGAAAGTGAGAACAGATGACGTATACATAGGAAAGGTTGGCTGAATCGAAGAAGTCAGGCTTACACAGGACAATTTACAATTATAGATTGGTACCTTATAGTGATTTAACAAATTTGATGCAGGCAGTGGCATTGTGGCTCAATTATCAAGATCCTTTCCATTCCAACTTTCAGACCTGAATTTGATAGGGAGACATCTTTATTTGTCCAATGAATGATCTCTGTTGGGAAGAGACATGGTGAAGTAATACTTTTGTACTATTGACTATAGTATTTTTGAGAGAACGAGAGAGGGAAATATTGTTGTACTGTGGAAAGTATTGTTTATATAAAGTCTACATGTATTTCAGGTTTAAATTTAAAGTTCCATCTTGTCTGTTATGTAATTATATCAAGCTGTTGGGAAGAATCTTATCTAGATTTGATACTTATAGTAATCAGTACTCTGATTATAATTTTCCAGTACTCTTATTAACTTGGACAACTACTCAAAAGGCAAACCTTGAAGATGATATAGAAATGAGAGCAGATCTGGAGTATAATATGACAGTATGAATCACCCTAAGAAGTAACACTTCTTAAAGATGTCACATTATTTCTGTATTGAAATATCTGTACTGATTAACAGTAATTGTCTTAACCAAAGTCAAGGTGCTACTTTTGCTGTAAAATTTTTACAAGGTTTAGGCTTAAATAAACTGTAAGATCATCTGATCCTCTATAGTCTGCCCCACTTTTGCAAATTTTTGAGTCACAGAATCATCAGACATGGTTACCCCTGAAATAGAAGACTGTTATTCTGATGAATGACTTGAATAGGAGAGCAATGAATATTTGATAATGTATTCTGTTTTTCCATCTTCTTTAGTTTCTGTTTTGACTAGGTAGAATAAAGCCACTCCTTCCCCTGCTCTCCCCACTCTTTTGCTTTAGTAATGCTCTGCTTCTTGTTTTAGGGCTTGAATGCTGCCTTGTACTATGAAAATAAGGATCCCCGCACATTTGTTTCCCTGGTTCCTACCTCTGCTCATACAGGAGATGGTATGGGAAGCTTAATTGCTCTTCTTGTTGAATTGACACAAACCATGTTAAATAAGAGACTGGCACACTGTGAAGAGCTGAGAGCACAGGTTATGGAGGTAATGTTTACCTAGAAAATCTTTTGATAGCCTGTTTAGATAACAAACTGGATTGAGGCAGATCATTTAAGGCATATTCTATGTCTTTTAGGTCAAAGCACTTCCTGGAATGGGTACGACAATAGATGTCATTTTGATTAATGGAAGGCTGAAGGAAGGTGATACCATTATTGTCCCTGGAGTAGAAGGTCCCATAGTAACACAAATAAGAGGCCTTTTGCTCCCTCCTCCCATGAAAGAATTACGAGTGAAGGTAAGGAAGCAGTGCATGAAAAAATGTTCTTGAAATTAATTTATGGTGTCTGAGTTGCTCAATGATACTAAATCATATACCCTTCCTTTACCCCAGATAAATTAATGTAATTTTTGCAGTAATAACTCTTTGCAATAAATGTGCTATTTGTGAAAGCAGTGCTAGGGAAATATTTTTGTGTCCTATTATACTGAGTGAAAGTATTTAATTTTACATGTGCTCTTTGCTGTTGAATTTCTATTAGCAAAAAATAAATTCGGATTTTTAAAGGATAAAGTCTGAAAAAAGGAGATTCCAAATAGTGTTTGTCATATTGTCTGATATTATGAAATGTTGAACGTATGTCATTTTTCTATTTTTTTTCCTGATTCTGTTTTGCTATAATTTAAAAATTTGCCTGAGGGATGTTCTAAAATTAATGTTTAATTGAACAATATTTATTGTCATAATATTTGACCAATTTTGGAACTTTTTTGTTTAGGTGAACTAATGCTTCTATTATATATTGAAAGAACATCATACTGCTGGTGTGCAGTAGAATCTAACCTAAGAGCCTTTATATTGTATTATCTTAGAATTTGGATATGAGTACTTCTTGTGAAAATATTCAGTCTAAAAACTGGAACATTTAACGGTTATTTTTGTTCAAGATGTGTCTTCTAACTTCTGATAATGCCATTGAGCATCTCTGTCATATTAATTCCTTCCAGTTTCATTAATTGAAGGATACACATTAAATAAATGTAGTGTATCTGTCATTTCATCGAATGAGCAAATAGAGTAAATGATTGGAGTTCTTGATGGTTCTTGACAGTTCTTGACAGTTCTTAATATAATTAAAACAAAGATGATAAATTGGAGA